TATATCCGGGTTTCTCTTATATCCGGGTTTCTCTTATATCCGGGTTTCTCTTATATCCGGGTTTCTCTTATATCCGGCTCTCTTATATCCGGGTTTCTCTTATACCCCGGGTCTCTTATATCCGGGTCTCTCTTATATCCGGGTTTCTCTTATATCCGGGTCTCTCTTATATCCGGATTTCTCTTATATCCGGGTCTCTCTTATATCCGGGTTTCTCTTATATCCGGGTTTCTCTTATACCCGAGTTTCTCTTATATCCGGGTTTCTCTTATATCCGGGTTTCTCTTGTATCCGGCTCTCTTATATCCGGGTTTCTCTTATACCCCGGGTCTCTTATACCCGCGTCTCTTATATCCGGGTCTCTCTTATATCCGGGTTTCTCTTATATCCGGGTCTCTCTTATATCCGGATTTCTCTTATATCCGGGTTTCTCTTATATCCGGGTTTCTCTTATATCGTCTGATTCTTATTTTTAGTATTATTTTTAGTACTGCCCATTTTGCACTGATGCCAAGCAAACACTGCCCGGCCCGAGAATTGAACCCACAATTACCAACGCTTCAATCCATTCCTCTATTGTCTCGTTTGAAAATTTTCTGTGGTAAGCAAAGTGAGTTTTAAATCTAATCTGCGTGCTGATTAGTGCTGCTGCAGCTGCCTGTCATGTTTGACAACTATCCGAATATAAAGTGTATATAATCACGGAAAATTAGACAGAAATTGAGGTGTTTAATTTTGTACCATTCGGAATGGTTGGCGGGATACCCTTTTCCGTGTACACCGTGAAACACGGTGTAAGATAGGATGGCTAGCTAATCCCTGTTGAAATCGCCATCTCAGGTATATTTTTTGTTCTTCAACTGCCAACTAGTGATGAGTATAACTCAGTTAAATTTTGTAGTAGAGCGTGCGCAAGCTGGTATGATCAACAGCTTAACAAGTCCAGTAGGCTCAAACCCTGACTTCCAATATGTAGCTCTTAATACGGACTTTCTGTTTTACTAACAATATGGGTTCCGTCTTACAGTTGGGCCTTGTTTTTTTGCTTTCCACGTTTACATATTTTAATACATGTTGCCAAATAAAAAAAGCAGTAAATTCAGAATTAAATTTATTTAGCTATCATAATTCATGCACAAAATAAACAATCATCGTAGATGCTTGAAATGTTTGCCTGAAAGTTCGACACAAAGTTATAATCGTGTTAGACAGGAGGAATTTCATTCCAAGCTTCAGTTAGGTTCCTCTTCAATGAATCAATATCGACGATGTGACGACGACTGTTTTTCAAGTGAGTTAGGAGTATGCTCCAGATATAGTAATCCATAACATTCAGATCTGGGCTTTTAGAGGACCACTGAGGTGGACCAATTAGTGCTGGTGTATTTTTTTTCAAAGAATAAATTTTCCGCTTTTTTACAGGGTACCCTGTAATTTCTACCTTCCACTGTAGTTCTTCATGATTTCATTTTGAGTTTTCTATCAATACGATGTTATCTGTGAACCTTATCCACAACAAATCATATTAATTGTTCTCGTTCTTTTCTGCTCATCTTGCTACTACTTGAGTTTAGAAATACGCTCTCTGCTGACCTAAGATGGAACAAATACACTGAATCAACAGCTTCATCTATCGCAAGGAAAGTTGCTTCTCTGTGTCGTGCCAGTAGGATTTTCTTGCCCGAGTCCATTCTTCAAATCTATAAATCAACCACTCGACTTGTATGGAATACTGCTGCCATATATGGTCTGGAGCCCTCGCTGTTCGTCTCGAGGCCCTCAACAAAATCCAAAGATGGATATGCAATGTGGTTTGTCCTGGTCTGCAGTCGCTCTCTCACAGATATGCCGTCGCTTCCCTCTGTCTTTTTTACAAGTACTTTCATGGTAACTGCTCCGACAAGCTATTTTCACTAGTTCCCAAACTGCAAGAATTTAAGCGCGTTACTAGTTTGGCATCACAGTCCCACCCTTTCACTGTCGAATCGATTAAATGTAGCCGTCCTTTCTACTCCAATAGCTTCATATCCCGCACTTCCTCTATGTGGAACTCCCTTACTTGTTTCTCTGACGGTTATAGTCTTCAAATATTAAAATGTAATCTCAATCGACATCTTCAGATGCCTTGATCTAATTCCCCATCCTTCTCTTTATCCTTTCTTCAATAACGTCTCTTTATTCTTGTTCCTACTCTCTGTAACCCCTTGCGTGCTTGTGACACTCTCGCCTTACTTGGGGTGGCATGCTTAAAAAACATTAACTATCAAAATTTAATAAAATAGAAGGTAGGATTTATTGTTTGTTGAAATATGCTTCACTCCTAACAGAAATCTCCATCTCGCTCTCTCTCTCTCTCTCTCAGCCAACTCCAGGTAATTCTTGCGACCAGTCAGTATCGAAACAACTCAGTGTTCCCTCAGCACGTAAGCCATCACTGCTCTCCCCAACTACCTGTCATTCGTATCTCTTAGTAATATTTGTCTTTTTCCAATCCTTCACAACTCCTGTCCTATCATCCACTTACACAAGATCGTTTCGGCCGGTTACTCACTCTTTCCATCTGTCCCTCAATATGTCTTGTGTGTGTCAAATTTTCCAAGTCTTCTTCCCTCATTACTTTGTTCCAGAAATGTCAAACTCTTTCTGATTCTAAGTATAAACGTCCCTTTTGTTTCTATTTTCCTTAAAACTTCATCGTTAATCACATGTACCGTCCATGGTATACTTAGTATCATTCTGTTGAACTACTTGTCTGGTGCCTCAAGTTACATTTCATCTGTGATCAAATTGTCAAACAATCACTGCCATAGACGACGACTGATATTATATAACAAGTTTGTATTGTTTTCTTTGTTTCTAACGAAATTTTCCCGATTCTTAATACGTTGCTTAGCTCTTGAAAAGCATATTTTGTCATTTCAATTTGCATTCCGAATACACTCTGCTGACTAGTTTTTTAAACACCGATTACCATTTGAAAGTGCTTGATACCCTGTATATCAAGTCTAAGCAACCTTTCCTCTCTAAGTAGAAGGCATGGTTACTGCGTCTTAATATGATCTGTTTGCGATTCATATGAAGGATTTTCTGGAGGCATTTCGAAGTGGTGTAATGTTTAGCCAGCTTGTCTCGCTAGAACAGTTACGACTCAGCAGAAAGTTCGATCCTCACAGAGAACATCATACATTCAGTCTTGTGAACATCTTAGCTATTCTTAGAAAATCACCATATCGGCCATATTCTGGTAATATTTTTCTTCCTCACTTTTCAGTCGTTGTGCACATACTTTGTTGCCGACTAGGCTCGAAATAGCGAGAAACGATAACTAGTTAACTTTTTTTGTTGTTGCTGTTTCTTTTTTGTTATATTTTTCACTTCACAAGTTTATGATGAATAATATTTTCTTTTCTTATCCATATTCTTCTTCGTACTTTGAAAATATTTTTGGTATATATTATGTCAATATATATACTGGGTGTAAACAGCAAAATTATCCAAATTGTATAACAGGATGGGATAATTATCCACCCCACAAAATGTTTAATATCTAAAAATCCGCTAAACTAATTGAGTTTCTTTTTTTAGGTCTTTAGATAGGACGTTTAGCCATTTTGACACCATTTGTCGTAAGAATCACTGAAAAACTCTTTGAGTTATTCGGCGAAAAAGAGAGCAGCTTAAAATTGTTTTGTGTCAAACCAGTTGTCTTCCCAAATGAGCAATAGTGAGAGGAAAATGATCATTCAGGCGTTCAGTAATGGTAACAACATGCATATTCTGGTTACCATCCATTCAAGAATCATCAAGAGAACGGTAAATAAGTTTAAAAAAGAGAGAAGAGTAGAAAGGAAAAAAATGGATCAGGACGTCACAACAAAAAAAGAGGGATCATCATTTCAACTTAGAGCTAAAGAGATCAATTAGAAAAGATCCAACACAATTCATAATACGTTTGGCAGGTGAGAGAGAAGTTTCATCTATGACAGTCCAAAGAGAAGTGAAAAAAAGTCTTGAAAATAAAATCACACATGAAACGCATGAGGAACTTTGTTACTCCAGGACAGAAAGTCAGAAGTTTAAAGATGGCGAAAAACCCAAAACTTTCAATCTTAAATCTAACGTATTTATTGCCTGACATCCTCTGGCGGCCTTACTGTCACGCTTGACCTCCTTTTGCCACCATGACTCTTTTTTTCGCTGCTACTGCTTTTGTTGCTTTTGCTCTTTCTTTATTTCTGTGACCTTTTCATTATTTTGTTTATCGACCTCTAAGTTTGTTATTTATTATTATTACTATTATTATTAGTAGTAGTAGTATTAGCAGCAGCAGCAGCACAGTATTTCTTTATTTTTATATCTCAAAAATATCTACAATTGATTTCTAAGGAATAAACGAAATATCCATTTTCTATTGATTTAAATATATATCGGGGAAAATCGATCTTCGTCCGTATAACATCACGCCAAGTAATATTGCTTTCAGTTTTCTATTACTAAACGCTATTTGACTGGAAATCGATAGACTTGTGTAGGAATGGCGTTATTTCGTCGGAGCAGCATTAGTTACTTGAGATAAATTTTTGACGTTTATTTTTGTATGTCATCGCAATCGTAGATAGAGAATATTCACTAACCGATTCTAAGATGCCGTTTATTTTCGTTAGGTTATTCATTGTATTCTTTGTGCTAACGTCATTGCAACAAATGTCCATCCTTGTAGGGCTCCTCAGTAAATATTTCTATATTTTTAGTATCTCTTTTTTTAAAATTTTCTTTCTGCTTCTCGTAATAATTCCTTCGTTATTTTGTTTTGGCTTGTACTTCTCAGTTCTTTATATTTGAATTAGATTTTAATTCCACCTAAAACTTTATTCCTCGTATTGATTCCTTCCTTATTTTATAAAAATAACTTTACATTTTTTTCACGAGTCTTTACTTGTCTTTTATATCTATTTCTTTGTTACTATTTGCGAATTTAAATAAGCATCTTTTCCACCCTTATGTCTCTCTCCCATTTTTTCTTCCTTTTCCTCTTTTTCCTACCTCATTCTCCTCCTCCTTGGTTCTCTTACCCTTTCTTTTTCCAGTCATGTTCTACGCTATCTTCTACGTCAGTTTTATTCATACTTTATATTGTACCCCATTTTCTACGCCATCTTCTGCGTTAGCTTTATCCATGCTTTATATTGCGCACCATGTTCTACGCCATGTTCTACGTCACTTTTATCAAAGCTTTATATTGTACACTATGTTCTACGTCATGTTCTACGCCATGTTCTACGTCAGTTTTATCCATACTTTATATTGTACACTATGTTCTAGGTCATGTTCTACGCCATGTTCTACGTCAGTTTTATCCATACTTTATATTGTACACTATGTTCTACGTCATGTTCTACGCCATGTTCTACGTCAGTTTTATCCATACTTTATATTGTACACTATGTTCTAGGTCATGTTCTACGCCATGTTCTACGTCAGTTTTATCCATACTTTATATTGTACACTATGTTCTACGTCATGTTCTACGCCATATTCTACGTCAGTTTTATCCATACTTTATATTGTACACTATGTTCTACGTCATGTTCTACGCCATGTTCTACGTCAGTTTTATCCATACTTTATATTGTACACTATGTTCTAGGTCATGTTCTACGCCATGTTCTACGTCAGTTTTATCCATACTTTATATTGTACACTATGTTCTACGTCATGTTCTACGCCATGTTCTACGTCAGTTTTATCCATACTTTATATTGTACGACATGTTCTACGTCAGTTTTATCCATACTTTATATTGTACGCCATGTTCTACGTCAGTTTTATCCATACTTTATATTGTACGCCATGTTCTACGTCAGTTTTATCCATACTTTATATTGTACGACATGTTCTACGTCAGTTTTATCCATACTTTATATTGTACATGTTCTACGTTAGTTTTATCCATACTTTATATTGTACACCATGTTCTACGTCAGTTTTATCCATACTTTATATTGTACGACATGTTCTACGTCAGTTTTATCCATACTTTATATTGTACATGTTCTACGTTAGTTTTATCCATACTTTATATAGTACGACATGTTCTACGTCAGTTTTATCCATACTTTATATAGTACAACATGTTCTACGTCAGTTTTATCCATACTTTATATTGTACAACATGTTCTACGTCAGTTTTATTCATACTTTATATTGTACGACATGTTCTACGTCAGTTTTATCCATACTTTACATTGTACGACATGTTCTACGTCAGTTTTATCCATACTTTATATTGTACGACATGTTCTACGTCAGTTTTATCCATACTTTATATTGTACGACATGTTCTACGTCAGTTTTATCCATACTTTATATTGTACATGTTCTACGTTAGTTTTATCCATACTTTATATAGTACGACATGTTCTACGTCAGTTTTATCCATACTTTATATAGTACGCCATGTTCTACCTCAGTTTTATCCATACTTTATATAGTACGACATGTTCTACGTTAGTTTTATCCATACTTTATATAGTACGCCATGTTCTACGTCAGTTTTATCCATACTTTATATAGTACGACATGTTCTACGTCAGTTTTATCCATACTTTATATAGTACGACATGTTCTACGTCAGTTTTATCCATACTTTATATAGTACAACATGTTCTACGTCAGTTTTATCCATACTTTATATTGTACAACATGTTCTACGTCAGTTTTATTCATACTTTATATTGTACGACATGTTCTACGTCAGTTTTATCCATACTTTACATTGTACGACATGTTCTACGTCAGTTTTATCCATACTTTATATTGTACGACATGTTCTACGTCAGTTTTATCCATACTTAATATTGTACGACATGTTCTACGCCATGTTCTACGTCAGTTTTATCCATGTTTTATTTTCTACGTCATGTTCTACGCCATGTTTTCCTTCAGTTTTATACATGCTTTACATTGTACGACATGTTCTACGTCAGTTTTATCCATACTTCATATTGTACGACATGTTCTAAGTCAGTTTTATCCATACTTTATATTGTATGACATGTTCTACGTCCGTTTTATCCATACTTTAAATTGTACGACATGTTCTACGTCATGTTCTACGTCAGTTTTATCCATCTTTTATTTTCTACGCCTTTTTCTACGTCATGTTCTACGCCATGTTTTCCGTCAGTTTTATCCATGCTTTACATTGTACGCCATTTTCTACGTCATGTTCAACGTCAGCTCTATCCATGGTTTATATTGTACACCATATTCTACGTCATGTAATACGAAATTTTCTACGTTAGCTTTATCCATGCTTTATATTGTACGCCATGTTCTCTGTCATGTTCTACACCATGTTCTACGTCAGCATTATCAGTGCTTTATATTGTACTCCATGTCAGTTTTATCCATCCTTTATATTATACGCCATCTTCTACGTCATGTACTACGCCATGTTCTACGTCAGTTTTATCCATCCTTTATATTATGGGCCATGTACTACGTCATGTACTACGTCATGTTCTACGCCAGTTTTACCCGTGTTATATATTATACGCCATGTTCTACGTCAGTTTTATCCATGCTTTATATTGTACTCCCTGTTCTACGTCATGTTCCACGTCATATTTCTCGTCAGTTTTAGCCATGCTTTATACTGTATGCCACCTTCTACTTAATGTTCTACGTCAGTTTTATTCATACTTTATATTTTACACACTGTTCTAAATCTTGTTCTACGCCAATTTTATTCATATTTTATATTGTACGCCATGTTCTACGTCATGTTCTACGCCATGTTCTACGTCAATTTTGTCCATGCTTTGTATTGTACACCATGTTCTACGTCATGTTCTACGTCAGCTTTATCCATATCTGTGCTGTACACTTTTCATTCTTGCATTTCACTCCTAATCCTTCTCCTTAACCTACCTTTGTTTCATTCTTCACGCTGCTTCTTTTCCCTGCCTTACCGTTTTTTTTTTATCCTCATCCTTTTCCTATTTCAGAACTGTTAACTTCCTAAGTCAGATTCATCTTCGTTTGGACTCTCCTTTTTTACTTTTCTTCCTACCTCTCACATATTCTTCTCATTATCGTCGTTCCCAACGTCCTCATATTTTTTCCTCATTCTCCCTTTCTACCCCGATTCCACTATCGTTAATTCTTTCTCTTTTTTTCCTAACACATCATCTTTGTAATTTCCACATCTTACATCAGCTTCATCCTCTCCGGGTGTCACATTTTTATTCTTCCCACCTTCGCCTTTTCCTCCTCTTCTTTTTTCGTGTCGTTCATTTTCATTATCTCTACTTCTAGTCATCACTCCATCGTTAATTCCTATTCTTTTTTTTATTCTCATCTTACCATTCATCATATTTTACCATTCTACATCACCTTCCTCTGCTGGACATTTCTGGTTTTTTCTTCCCACGTCTCCCATATTCCACTCCTTTTCTTCTTTGTCAGCCTCCATTTTAATCCAATCTACACTGCTTAATCCCCATTCCGTCACCGTTAATTCTTCCTATTTTTTGATTATCGTCGTCGTCTCTTTATCTTCTTACCATTCTGCATCAGAATCTTCCCTTTTTGGTCTCTCCTTTTTTCTTCATTTTTACCCACTCTCCCCACTGTTAATTTTTCCTTTTTTTTTTATTCTCCTCAATTTTCTATTTTCCTACATTTACAATTCTACACCAATTTCGTCCTCTACTAGACTCTCCCTTTTCTCTTTCCTGTCCCTTTGTTTTCACTCTCTCACTCTTCTTCCTCATTCTCTAACCGTTACTTCTTACTCTTTTTTTTCTCGTCATCTTTCTATATTATTAATTTTACCATTCTACACCAGCTTTATCTTATCCTGTTCCCTCCATTTTTCTTCTAGCTGCCTATTAACCATCTTCGCACTGATTCATCCCTTTTCACCCACCTTTAATTCTTCCACTTTTTTTTTTAATTCTCGTCATATTTCTATATTCTTACTTTTCTACCATTCTACATCAGTTTCATCCTCTCCTGGTCTCTCTTTTTTCTTCTTCATCCCTCTTTATTTTCACATTCTATAACTTTCTCCATCCCCATTGCCCCACTGTAAATTCTTCCTCTTTATTATTCTCCTCATCTTTCTATCTTCCTATCATTCGACATCAGCTCTATTCTCTCCTGGTCTCCTCTTTTCTTCTAACTGTCCCTTCATTTTATCCACTCTAAACAGCTTCCTCATCATTCCCCTAACGTTAAATATTTCATTTTTTTTATTCTCCTCATCTTTCTATCTTCCCAATTTTATCATTCTACATCAGCATCATCCTTCACTGTTCTCTCTTTCTTCTTCTTCTTCTTCTTTTTTCATTTTCACTGTCTCTCCCTTGCTTCATCCCAAACCACCCACTGGTAATTCTTACTCTTTCTTATTCTCCTCATCTTTCTATCTTCCTACTTTTACCGTTCTACATCAGCTTCATCCTCTCTTGATCCTCCATTTTTCTTCTAACTCTTCCTTCATTTTCACCATCTCTACCCTGCTTCACACCCATTCTTTCTCCGTCGGATGCCCCCTTTGTTCGCATTGTCTCCCTTCGAGGGCAACTTATACCCCTCTTTTTCTTCTCCTAACTGTTTACTATTTCTATCATTCTCCACCTCCTTCTTTTCTCGTTGTCTTTCCTCACTTTTCGTCGGTTGATTTCTTCTATTTCTTTTTCCATCTCTCGCCCTTTTCATTTTTTTTCTTTCTCCACTTTCTACTCCCCTCGGAAGGTCACTTTATTTTGTTTCTCCATTAATTTTTTTATTCGTTTTTATATTTAAATAATTCCTTTCATTTTCTTCACCTTTTCCTTTTTGTTCTTTTTTTATTACTCCTATAAGCCTTTTATACTTACCATTTCATTTGTAATAATTTTTATTATCCTCATTTATTTTTATCGTAGCATAACGGTTATCAGCGTGGAAAGTAAAATCCTTTTTTAGTTTCGCACTAATACCTTTACGAACCCGTCTCTTAGGATAAATATCCGCATATATTGGCCTCTCTAGACCAGCGTTCCTAATCGGGGCGCACTAATGTACCCTGACAGGTAGCCAGGAGCGTCCTAAGTTTACGAAAAGTAGTTTACGAATTATTCTATTATTCTAAAAAAAAATATTTTAAAAAAGTTAGAGACACCAAGCAAATAGCTTCCACGTCTCAATCTATTTTTTATCATTTGATATTTTAAACTGGATTCAAAATTCCTTAATCTTTAAGAATATGTATAAACCTTTCCCTTTTGCTTTTCTTAAGGGGTTTAAATCAGCCATTATCGGCCTCTCTAAAAAAAAAAAAAAAAAAAAAAAAAAAAATACAGATTCTTCATGAATTCCTTTGAAATCTATACCGCTAATCGTCTTTGGGATTGCTAAACCATAATTTAATTTAATTTTTTCTTTATTAAAACTGAAAGTGCACCCTAAAGTTTTAGTCATTCTACATGTGTGCTCTGAAATAAGAAAAAGTTTAGGAAACGCTATAATAAACTGTGGTGGCTGCCTGGCTAGGAGGAGGGAGACACGGAATTCAATATATGGTTGGTTGGTTGATTTTGTTTAGCGGCACATCGATTTCTATGGGTTATTTAATACAGAAATCTAAATATTTTGAAGACGATTTTATGGCTTCAAAGAAGATAAAATGTGTTGGTCCTTTTTGCTATAAAATGCATTGTTGGTAATTCTCATATAAAATGTATTGTTGATCATTTTTGCCTTAAATATATTTTTAATTTTACTATGATTGTTAATTTTACTATAAACTAGCCTAGAAGACGCAGACACTCGGCGAGCTCCTGCGGAGGTTTTCTGGGCATTCGGACTTTTACCTCCAGCGTTATATGTACGTAATGGTTATAAGAATGTCGAAATAATCAAATTATTTTATCTTTATTCAACATCTTAATTCGGCAGAATCTTTCTTCGTATACGCAACCGATCCGTGTGCATTGTTTATTTTGCGCACAATTTTTATTTTCTTTTAAAATCCCCATTCTTTATGATCCCTTGAATGACATTAGGGAACACGAACTATGTAATATTTCGAATACGTCACTGTACGCGTGCTATAAAAAGAAAAAAAAACATATGAGCAACGTAACCTACCCCACTTATGTTTTAATTATGGTTTAATTCGATGAAAAGCTACATAAAAGTTAAACCTTTAATAAAGAATTATTTTTTAAAAACTTTCACTTTGTTTGATATTTAAATTTAACTTTAAATGAGTTATTTATTTAATTGTTAATCGCGTGTAGCTACAGTAGTTACTTCCTTTTACTTCAGATTCTTTATGATTTGCTGAGATCAAAAAATGGACGGACGAACGGACGTACACACGTACACTGCGCTTCATTATTATCGATTCATTTAGCGAAAACAACTTCGGGTGGATTTAGGCTAGTAAAAATAATAATACTGTAAATAACTGATGAATATTAATAATTCTAATGTCCTCGTGATTAGCGTTTGAATGTATGCGAACGGGTCAGTGAGCGAGAGTACATATTACCCATGCGTCGCTGTGTTTATTCCACGCGCATGCGTAAATCCAGAGAACGAAAAATGAACGGACGGACACAGGCATACAACACTTTATTTATTTAAATATGTATTGTTGGTAATTTTTTCATATAAAAATGTATTGTTGGCATCTTCAACATAAACATGTATATTTTTTATACTTTCATAGTTTTCTTTTGTTGGGGGGGGGGACTATTTTCCCATCGCTGAGACCCTAACAGGCGCTACCACCCCGGATCAGTCTTTACCGATGCCTATTTTCTTAGCGTAGTTTAGATATGTCACAAAGCCGAAAGTATGGCGCATACGGTGGAGATCGAACTCATATTTCAGTCGTAATTGACGTAGCGAGACAAGCTTGCTAATCATTTCACCACGTCAGAGAGTGCCCATTTTCTAGCTTAGATGTGGTACAAGGCCGAAAGTATGGGGCACCCAGTGAGGACCGAACCTGCTATTCAGTCGTAAATGCTCAACTGGTTATGGTCAGCCAACTGATAAGCAGATCTGTGCTAGTGGCCGTGATATTTATTGCAGCGCATCTTGATTTGTCAAGAAATAAATGTATAGTTTGAAACCTCCCAAAAATGAACATCAGAAGTCAGAAGAGGCATTTCTGGTTCGACATCAAGACATCATTGTCGTCAACATCATCATCATCATTATTATTGGTATTATCCCCTTCTTCTTCTCTTCCCATTTTGCTCTTCCATTCATCATCATCTTTTCTTCTTCTTCTTCTTTACCCTTTTCTCTTCCATTCATCATCTTTTATATTTTGTATGTTCTTCTTCTCTTATATTTTGTATCTTCTTTTTTTTCATCTCCTTCTTCTTCTTCTTCTTCCATTCTTCTTCTTCTTCTTCCATTCATCATCATCATCATCTTCTTCTTCTATTCATCATCATCATCATCATCATCTTCTTCTTCTTCTTCCATTCATTTTCTTCTTCTTCTTCTTCTTTACCATTTTCTCTTCCATTCATCATCTTTTATATTTTGTATGTTCTTCTTCTCTTATATTTTGTATCTTCTTCTTCTTCTTCTTCTTCTTTTCTTCCATTCATCATCTTCTTCTTCTTCTTCTTCTTCTTCTTCTTCTTCTTCTTCTTCTTCCATTCATCATCTTCTTCTTCTTCTTCTTCATTCATCATCTTCTTCTTCTTCTTCTTCTTCCATTCATCTTCTTCTTCTTCCATTCTCTTCTTCTTCTCTTCTTCTTCTTCTTCTTCTTCTTCTTCTTCTTCCATTCTTCTTCTTCTTCTTCTTCTTTCTTCTTCTTCTTCTTCTTCTTCCATTCTTCTTCTTATATTTTGTATTTTTTCTTCCATCTTCTTCTATTCTTTTTTCTTCTTCCATTCTTCTTTTCTTCTTCTTCTTCCATTCTTCTTCTTCTTCTTCTTCTTCCATTCTTCTTCTTCTTCTTCTTCTTCTATTCATTTTCTTCTCTTCTTATATTTTGTATTTTTTCTTCCATTCGTTCATTTTCTTTTCTTCTTACTTCCCCGTTTTCTTCTTTTTCGTTCATTCTTCTTCTACTTCACCCGTTCTTCTCTTACATTCTTTCTTTCTTTCTTTCTTATTATTTCTTCTATGTTTCTTGTCCTTCATCATCATCATCATCATCATCATCTTCATCATTATTATTCCAATGTTCATCCTCTTCCTCAATTTTCTGCATCTACTCTTCCATTCTTTACCTTCTTTTTCGCCTCTTACATTCTTCGTCGTTCATTCTTCCTCTTCTTCCTCTTCTTCTTCTTCTCCTTCTTCCTCTTCTCCTTCTCCTCCTACACCTTCTCCTCCTCCTCCTTCTTCTTCTTCCCTCAATAACTCACTTATCATAAAGATCATTGCGGCAAGTTGAAGCGAAAAACAGAAAGGGAAAATTCCCTTTTGTGCGATGACATTTTCTCTTCCAATGTCCAATAATAACGCAACTGAACAAGCGTACTCAAGATGCATCATATTTCCCCTCCGAAAGATGGCAACAATGGGTCATTTTGACCGGATGGGAATGGCCTTTGAGAATCATATCTGTATCTTTCGACTGACCCACCCTAATAACCGGTCCCTGTTGGCTTCTCTCTTACCCCACCTCATCTTGCGTGCATATAGAAATACATAGCTTAGTCTGGCATAAGGCCATAATTGTTAGACACTAATTAGAATCGAACTAACTACAAAAACATTTCTGCCGGCCACCGGTCATCGGCAGTTTCCAAATATTACTTATTATGTATATAAATGCTATCCACTACCAAAAGCTTGACCAAATAACTAAATACGGGAATTTTTTGTTGAAAGTGTCGGGTTAAGAATTTTTCAGCAACCCTTCATTTATATATGCTTATGCATAGTTAAGTGTGTGTGTGTGCATGTGGAAAGAGAAAACGCTCGAAACGTAATGCCGTCGACTTATTTTTAAGGAATCAATCAAAGTTACACGGGTACAGTAACACTGCTGTATAAAGCCTGTTTTCAGAGCGGAAACTGTTTTATTTTTGTCAAAGGGCACATTTTCGACGACGCAGGCCGGTGGAGGAAACAAATACTGTTTAAAATAAACGTCTACTCAAATACGAGCATTATTGATTTTGAAGAAAAGAATATGTCCTCATCACCACCTCCCCCAACTCCCAAATGACGTTCATAGTGACATGCAAGGCATAACAGTGTCTGACCGGTTTCCTTTGTATCGATGATATTGAGGTTATCCGGTCCAACCACGCAGAAGTTAAATTGGCAGGAACTAAAAGGCAACAGGTGGTTCGAATTCAGAGTTTTCTTTCTTATAGACTGGTTGCCAACCAAGGTTATAGTACCCATTCACTCCAGCTATTTAACCATAGCTGGGGGGAAAGATGGATTCAAACATTTCCTTCTCGTTTCCTCGATCTGAGCCGCAGTCCTTTACTCCAACGTGCCCCCAAAATATCGAACAAAAAAGTAAAGTCCATTAATTCTTTAGAAATTCTTTTGGGTCCATTTCGGATACTAAAATGAACAGATACTCTTTTCGAGAAAACTTGAACAAGTTAATGTGCTTTAAAGGCATAATAGAACTTTGGTTTATTGTGGCACTTTTCGTAGCCAAGGGCTAAAAGCCCGCCGGATCAGACAGTGGTTTTTCCTGTAACGGAGGTCAAAGATTCGTATCCTACCGAGAGCAAATTATCTTTATTAATTTTTTTTTCGAGTACGGAGGCCTGTAGACGAAATAAATACCGTT